ACTGTAAAACAAACCATTTACGTCTCTTTTTGGAAAGGAATCCAAAAGCACCAGGTGTGTACTTTCTTTTGTACGTCAGTTTATAATCAAGTGACATTAACCCGAATTCAAACGCTTTAAATACATTCGCAAAACGTAAAATTCAGGACACTTTAAAAGTCAAAATGTGTTCAATCAAACTAATGACTTGAGAAAAGGCAAGGATACACTTTTGCCGGGTATATATAGACACCGAATCTGTGTCACCCCCAATTGATGTTCAATAATCCCGTTGATGTAATCAAACAGATCCTCTTTACGTTATGTCATTAGCTTCATTGAAAGTGCTTTCAAAGCAAATCAGCCAGCTTTCACGTCAGAGAGGGTCTATTCAAGGGAGATAAATCAACCATTGTGGTGGTTGTAGAAGTGACGGGCTGTCAACAAGTGTGATATATTTCAATATACAGGATTGAGCAGATACTGTTTGCCGTCACTTTCCCGATCAATCATGACGTGAAGTGCTTCCTGCCCTGACATGTAGGTGACGGACGCTATGAGGGAGTACATTGGCTGAGAGTGATCTGTAAGACGCCAACTGGTGGTGGTGTGTGTACAAGGAATCTGTACCTACAAAGGAAATATGTACAGTCAACAAAGGAAATATGTATAGTCAGATGCATCCATCAGAAATCGGCGAACTGTCCTATTCATACTGGCCGAAAGATCTAAGGGGATGCGCATATACACACGGACCAGGATTAAGCTGAGAACATATAATTATAAACGTATAAACTTCTAAATGACCGTCCAGCCTTGCAAATGGACAGCAACTTCTTGCGAATAGGTGGACCCATTGACCATGGTAAATATATATAGCTGTGACCGTACACTTTTGTAAATCGTTAGGTAATTACAGCGACTTGCCAATACATAGTCCCGTATACCTACATGCAAAACCTCCCAAATGCGTACACCCTGAAGTCAGGCAAATCAACAGGCCAGTGAACCTAAGGCCTCCCAAACAGTTATACCATTTGGCCTAGATTCTTGTCAATAGAATGACCCATGAACCTTGAGTTGCTAATTATACATGTAGTCATCCACAGAAACTGAACGAATGCCGACACACTAACACAGTGGCCCGTGCTCCATGAGGGATCCATGAGCGACTACAGCGGATGCAGGGTGAGCCGATCAGCATCACAGGCTAATGAGGAGACAGAGAACACGAGGAGAGACTGTTTCCTTTTGATGTCCGATTAATCATGGCTAACACCTGCCCCCTACTCTAATGAGAAGGAATGGCTGGCAACTACCAAGACAAACACTGGCTCTATCATAAATACCTTACTCTTCTGTAATTGCGGTATTGCAGAAAAGTTTGCAGAAAAGTTTACTCACTTTGTATACATTTGTACCTGAAGTTATATTTCACAGAGGAGGAATATTCCTACGGGAAAAGTTTAGATGAATATTTTTATTGAAAAGAGTCGAAGATAAAGGACGATGCATTCCCGTTATCAGAGAACATTCCGGAAGCATTCAAACTATTACTTAAGTTTCCATTTCTCGCTAATCATTCAAGTTTTACTCACCGAATGCGATTTGACAGTTTGTTGACCACAATACCGAAAATGTAAATTCTTTGTCGCTTAATGCATACACCAACTAATGTTTTTATACTGAGTAGTTGACATATGTAAATGCCCCATTAGGCGACGTCACAGGTGTAACTGGAAATAGGTAGGAATCCACTTTCAATAATAACATTTCAGAGATGGACCTTTTAGTAGATTAAAAACCCCAAAAAACTTTGGAGACTATTTGCATGTACAGGGCGTACGTCAATGTCAAATGCATAGAATGGAACAGTGCTGAGGGCACATACTTGCACAAATAATGATTTCGTGTCCACTGATACCCTTTGAGATCATTTGAGACAGTTTACCATAGTCATCTCAACTTATACCCTGTGCTGAAGGCCGGGATGACATGTTTACGTGTTCGTGACACCAGATGTCATGTCGTATACGATTTGTGTTTGTTAGGATTTGTTAGGCCGATGTTATTTGAGAGGTGTTTGGTGTTATTTGAGAGGCAAGAGTGTATCTACCCCTAAGGTATTGGCCTTTCAATAAGTCACGTCGGTAGATCTCCTGTTTGCCAGCATACACGTTGACCTTTGCTGTGCAAATGTCACTGGCATTAGTATACTTTAAACAATTATTCTTAGGAGGTGAGCTGTCACGATCCGGGTTCGAATTGGTCTTCAGGAACCCATGCTTGCCCCAAGAGGCGGTCAGGCTCGCTGACTTTGTTGACACATGTTTTCGTATCCCAATTGCATAGATCGATGCTCATGCGGTTGGTCACTGGACTATTTTATCCAGACAAAATTATTTACACACATCCATCATATAGCTGGAATAGTGCTGAGTGCGATGTTAAGAAGAAACAAACAATTGTTTGCAAATAGTGATGTGCAATAGTTGAATGAGCATGGTCTTAGCAATTTTCCAGCAAAATCATGTAGGGGGACAACAGAAATGGGCTTCCCCAATCGTGCCCATGTTGTCTAATCCTGGTCGTCGGTTTGCCGGCGTGACGAGCGAACAGATTAACCACAAGGCTTCCCCCACCTCTTTGTAATATATGAAAGACAGAAACATAAAGAATAATTCTAGGACTTAAGAATAATTGAACTTGAAGGATCACACGAAGAATGTTAACATGTCAGCGTGTAAGTGACGAATTGTTCATAGCGAATATAGAGGCCCAAAGGGCAACTGAGAGAATGGGATTTACGATTTTAAGAACCCGTTGGAAGTCGCTAAACTGAAAACAGATGTTGATCACATTTAAATCGTGCAAATGAAGTAGAAGACAATGTGCCGACCATCAGAACAGTTTCAAACCTAATTTGTTCTCTTCCAGGTCTGCGGTCGTCAAGTTTCTTTGTCCAGACGATCGAGATTTTGTGTTTTCCCAACATGAAACTAACAAGCACATATATCCATGTCTTAGCCCACATTACAAGAATAGAGAGGACTGAGCTGAACATAAAACGTCAAGAGGCAGAGATTAACCAATCATCCATCAAAACCGACTGCATTTGGTGTAAATGACAATGCAACGTTGAAATTCTATTGAATAGATCACACAACGCGCGCCAAGAGGGGTTGGGTAGTTAATTGTAAAGGATGCTGTTAAGTACCAAGACACAGAACACCGGTTACAGGCTTTCATTTTATTAATTTCAGTCGATTCCACCCTTGTTGATTGTATCTCTTATGATCCCAGAAGAGTGATACCGAATCACTCATGGTAACATCCAAACAGTAGACATACGGTAAAACACAAGATGATCCCTGTAAGCATATACTGAAAAGGACGGAAGGCTTACCTTTAAACGTGAAGGGAGATAACACAAGGTGTGGCAAACGTACAAGTTGGCATTTGGATGTAAACAGATTACTTCTTGGACGGGGACGATGAGCAGATTATCAGGAAGGAAACAACTGGACAGATATACCAGTAAGGCAAACAGAAAGGAGGCCAGATACAGGGTTCAATACCGAAGCGTTCCAGCAAACTTGGGTCATTAAATGGCCCCGGACTCAAATCCAGTGCATTTATCGACTTTATACGCGCTTGTGCCTTTTTTTAGAGAAATGAATAAGTACACCAATATCTTTCTTTTAACTGCCAAAATTCAGATATAAATTGGCGTAAGTTAATTTTGTTCCCTATGTTGCACATTTGGAGCACACGTATGAGACTTTTTAATTTTTGTAATACAGTCGAACCCCGTTTATCCGGACATTTTGGTTACACTTAGAAATCGTCCGGATAGCGAGGCGTCCAGTTAACGGATAGCGAGGCGTCCGGTTAACTGGATCAAAGAAGCAAAACGTATTGCCGATGTATATTAAAAATATATTTATGTACATGTGTGTGTATATATATACGCACAAACTGTCCAAAATAGTACAGGTGTTCAGTCATAAATATCACATAAATAAATAAAAACAGAATGCCTTTTTCTCCAACATGTTTCGTTCTTTACTCTTCAGGGAGATTGTAGCAGTTACAGTATAACGTCATTACATATATATTGTGACGTCACAATAGGGACAACATTCTAGAGCGACAAGGTCACAGCTTGCAATGGTTTAGCATTGGTTTGAAGTAGTGTTCCTTTAAATTTCGTTTTACTTTGTCCGAATTTTGAACTTGATCAAAAGGAAATATTGTAATTTTAATATCGTTTCCTTTCGCACAGACATCTAGATGTTCACTCAGTGGGATACATCGGGTTTCAGGACACTTTATTTGTTGTTTGTGGACTCGAACCCGGGCTCTTAAATTTTCGGATTGACAAATATACTGTTCATTACAGCCTGTGCATGTTATGACATATATTATGTTTTTTGGAAGAGCGGTCAAAATTCTGTTTTACATAGAATTCTCCGTGTCTCGTGAAAGTTACAGAGTGTCCTTCAACAATATGTCGACACGTTCCACAGTTACCTCTGTTGCATCTGGACACAGTATATATATATCAATAAATCAATAGTAATAAGTAAAAACAATTAATCATAAGATATACATAAGTGATCGTAAATGTACCAATAAACATTCTTTCATCGCATTGACTCATATTACACACATTGGGGCGGTGGGGTAGTCTAGTGGTTAAAGCGTTGGCTCGTCACGCCGAAGACCCGGGTTCGAATCCCCACATGGGTACAATGTGTGAAGCCCATTTCTGGTGTCCCCCGCCGTGATGTTGCTGGAATATTGCTAAAAGCGGCGTAAAACCATACTCAGTCAGTCAGTATTACACATTACGTCTTACTTCACTTCACTCAATATCTTGACATTTCCCATGAAGCACATTTATTTTTAAAAGTCTGTCATAGATGTTTGTTTCGTTGGTTTGATTTCATCCAGTTTTTTCACTAAGTCCATCACTAGGTTCACCGAACCTTCCCCAAATTACATTCGTAGAATGTCAGCTACCTGTCGGTGTGTTGAAGAGCTTCTGCTACTGTTGGCGGGACAACTGCTGGTTGGTCCTCGTCATCTGACTGGTCGTCTGTCGGTGGCTGTACTCTGTTGATGATTTCTTCATCAGTCAGCTCATGGCCGGTGTCTACGACAGTGTCTTCATCCACGTACTGCTCAGCAGTTGGGACCTCGTCCCCATCACTTCTTGGTAACTGCTGCATAAAATTCCGCAGCTCAGCAAGGGAGATGTCATCGTCGCTTTCGTCCTCGGTCTGAGCTGTGGTGGGAATTATGTCAACGTGTTTGTAGCAGTTGTTGATACATTTCGCACTCACTTCATCCCAGGCAGACTTGACGAACCGGATTGCTAACCTCAGTGTTAGCATCTGGGGTTGGCCATTCTCAGCACATGTGATGAAGTGTTTCACTAGCGACTTCTTGTAAAGGGCGTTAAAGTTCCGGATGATACCAGCGTCCATTGGTTGAATATGAGCAGTGGTGTTGGGACGAAGAGAGGGCACGGTGACGTTGGTCAGTCGAACTTCCTTGTGATTATGGCTGGCAGCATTATCTAAAAGAAGGATGACCGTACGACCTTTCAGACGCATGGATCTGTCAAAGTGTCGCAACCAGTCACTGAATAATTCACTGGTCATCCATGCTCTGGTGTTATGGCGATAACGGACATACACTTCCGGGTTGAAATCTCCGCCGAAGCACCTTGGTCGTCTTGCCTTCCGATGACGAATGGTTTCATTTTCATTGTCCCACTAGCATTGGAGCAGAGTGCTACTGTGATGTATCTGAAACTGTTTCCCATGTATTGTGTACATACTCAGCAAATAGGTAAAGTAAGTGTCATTCTGCTTCTTCATTCAAATGTCCAGAGAAAATGCTGATATGATTAAAAGTGAATCATCATTTATTTATCACGCTCTCAGGTGATCATGTTGTGTACAACATGTGTCTCATCTGCGCGATTCACATGACATGGACAAATCTATAACAGTACTGGACAGTTGCCTCAGGCGCTGGAAATAAATATTGTTTGAACAATCAATAAGTCAGGACGACAATACTGTTTAATATAAGCTGAAAAACAACAGCATAAACGACATTCAAAAGAAAGAAAGCAACAACTACTTGATCTCCACCTTTTGAGGGTCACCAGGTATGTCATAGCCTTTGGTTGCATATATATTCCCTGCATATCACGGTGGAATTGGCAATACCCCACTTCCAGCATTCGATACATCCACCAAACATAGTCCTGAACTCCTGCTCACCGTCTAAACGTCACTCTTAAAATGCTTGTAAAAGCACGTTACCCTGTTTCCCGTGTTGACAGAGCTCTAGGTTTGAGATTATGATGAAATAGCGAGCATTGACTGGATTACCCCTAATCAGGTGGTGTCTTCCGTGTTTTTCAACCCGACAGTGGGCATAACATGCACGTGTTTCATGCGCGTATAACCATTTCCATCCTGCCTCATTTCAGTGTACATTGGTTTAATGATGTCTTTGAAAAACGAGTTCCTGAACTGATTGACACGAAGACGATTTTCATCTTCGATGAACTGATTTTCAAGTAGTTTACTTTTTCTTCGCGAGGCGAGGTGAAATCGATGTTAAAATAGTGTGTGATATTATTGAACGTATAGAGTGACATGTTTCCTCCATGGACAGACTGCATTAAGGATTATCTGATGGCGGGGTTAATGGAAGATACAATTGACATCTTATTAGTTTATTTAATTATTTCCTCCAGAGTTATGTGTTTTTGTAAAATACGGTGGTGTGTACAATTAGAACAACTAAACATTAAATAGAACACCTCTAGCTTGAGCATACCAATAAATACATGTCCCAATTTCTTTATACCTCAAGATTTTATTTTTATTGTTTAAACAAAAACATACAACCTTACTTATTTCAGCTTTACCCTTTTTCAATGTGGGTTACACAGATTCAACATTTAAGCAGACTCAATTAAAATGAGCGTATATGTGCTCCGAACATTAGGAATTCCAGTACTTTACACATTTTAACAGACATGATGATAAAGGGAGATAACCTCCCTCACAGATTCAAAAGAGTCATAAGAGCTAATCCACAAGAGATTCATATGAGCTAATCCACTCTTTAAAAAATTAAGGCTTTCATGAATACTGTTTTATCCACAAAGAAGCCTCTTTGAATGAAACTTTTGATTAATATCAAATTATTTTCGAGAAATCCAACATTCGCGATCCTCATTGTACATATGGTGTGGGGATATATGAACAGTTGTTGATGAAAATCCGCATGAAGAAAGCATATTTCAAATTGATTATCGATTGTCGAATACAATCCAATCCAAATCTGCAACCAGAGAACAGATAATGACAAACAGAGATGTATGATTACTTTAGAAGCATGTAGCCCTTTGAGCCTTCATCACAAAAATAAATATTTCAGATGAAAATATTGTATGAAAACAAGGGTGGTCAAGATCTTTTCCCCGTGTAATCAGAGGTGTAAATGCTGTTCTTTTTTTAAAAGGATGTATTTTCATGACTAAACAACCTTCGTTCTGCAAGTGGACTTGAAAGATACCCATTTCTTGATTAATAGCTTCCCTTGCAGGATCAATGGAGTCTGCAGTATGTGGAGGAGGAAGATCCCAATATCCTGAATGGGCATTTTGAAGCGATGTATTCGTTTCAAGATCTCCATTAGCCATAATTCAATGTAAACGCACGGTCTCAACAGAAAATCGTAGTTAATAATGTAAGGGTACATTTGGTTTGATTGGTCATAAACAGGAAACGAGCAATTAGAATTCTTGCATTAGAAGAAAATGCCCAGCCTTGAGTGCAAGGCGTATTTATCAAACGTATACGTCGGATAATGGCTGAAATATTCAATACATAGTATCTTCACATTGATGTCATGCTACGTACAGAGTTTGCAAAAATGGATACCGATGCTGAATCTCTAGTGAAATATGTGGAAGGGCCCAAAGCACAGTTTCTAGTCATTCCATGTAAGTGATCAAGTTTGACAATGAATGTGTTGGTCTAGGTTGACCATCGAGTAAAAGATAAATTAATGATTATGTGTATGAGAGTGAGTGACTGAGTTGAATTTTACGCCGCACTATTCCAGCTACATGGCGGCGGTCTGTAAATAATCGAGTCTGGACCAGATAACCCAGTGATAAACAGCATGAGCATCGATCTGCGCAATTGGGAACCAATGACATGTGTCAACCAAGTCAGCGAGCCTGACCACCCGATCCCGTTAGTCGCCTCTTACGACAAGCATGGGTTACTGAAGATCAATATTCTAACCCGGACCTTGAGAGAATAATAAGGTTGCTTATTTGTTTCATAACAACTCCTCAATGAGCTGGAATGTACCGCAAATTGGATTACCCGCTATGTAGAGCTGATGGGTGTGATATGATTCAGATGATATGTCACAATTTAACTTTGTTAATGACATATTATGTCACATCATTCTCTTAATTTTGTTGCATTTACAAGGAGGAGATGAAAACAAGATTCACTTAGTCTTAAACTTTAATATATTTTATCTTTAGTTTTACCATGACACTGAAGAATGCTTGTTTGTGCTTGCTTAAAATTAGACTAAAACCAGGCATCGATCAGCTTTGTTAAAATAAGACTAAAATCAGGGATGGAGGAATTTTGCATCCATCAATGCCTGGAATATGATTATATCAATATTCCGACTATCTACGCACACAACTATGGCTTCTGATAACCACACATTGAAGAAAAACACGCTCTAACCACTATAACAAGGTGCCCGGATAGTGGAAAGTTCGTCTTGTGCCAACAACGTTGTGCAAGTAGGTATATTTCCACATATACTTGAGCGTATTTTACGCCGTTGTTTGCAGTAACCCAATAATATTAAATATAGTACAATATTGCCCCAAATGTGGGTTCCACTCCTTGTAACGACACGTAAAGATCCGGGTTAGAATTGGTCTTCAGTAACCCATGCCTACTGTAAGAGACGGGATCGGGTGGTCAGGCTCGCAGTTTTGGTTGACACGTGTCATTGTATCCCAGTCGCGTAGATCGATGTTCATGATGCTGATCACTGGTTTGTCTGTTCCAGACTCGATTATGTACAGACCGCCGCCATATAGCTGAAATACTGCTGGGTGAGGCGTTAAACAACAAAAACCAACCAACCATTACCCCTTGTACTCGTTTCCATCAGTAAAGCATAACTTAATGGTGATCTTTATAGCAAATTGTGGTAATCCTGGGTATTCATGCAACTTGGCACTATCACCGTCAAAGAGACTATTGTGGCAGCCATGGTCAGTGAACTGAAGTTTGATTGGTTGTAGTTGAACGCCGCGCTCAGCAATCTTCTAGCTATATGACAGCAGTTTGTAAATAATCTAGTCTGGACCAGACAATCCAGTCAGTAACATTATTTGCTACTGTTATACATCGAATTTTGATACTGTGATATGCATCAACCAAGTCAGCGAGCCTGACCACCCGATCCCGTTAGTCATGTACTAATACGGCCTCAAAGACAACTTCTTTCTATTTAATGTCGACGAGTTATTAAGCATTTCTGCTTGCTCTGTGTACATCTTTGTCAGTCTGAGAACGCTGATCTTTGGCAAATATGTTTCCTTTGAGGATAATCTCATTATTTGTTCAAATCATTAGACTAATGAGTGAAGTTGTTAGTAACTGACAACATTTTATGGAGTTCCACATATTCAGCGGAGAGTTTGCAGCAGTTTAAACTTTGAAGTAAGTATAAACGTGCATTGCAACAATGTTCTAAAATAATATATCTGACCTTGTTTCATATTTGTTGATAATTTTGGCCTCCCTATTTCAACAGAAAATATCAAAAGCAATGCTGACAGTAACTTTTGTGAAATGTCTTTCTACATCCCAAACTGCTGATAGGCGAGCTCCAGTGCCCGACACAAACTTTTGTGGTTAATTCCTTGTCACTTATTCCCCCTGGACTGTATTAAGTCCATCAGTGGTTTGGGGAAATTGAAAAATTCATGTACATGAACAAACATCTTGTGCGACCTTTACATACTACTGACTAAATATTTTATAGAGACGTTTTGGAGAATGAATTAAGTACTTTATCACCATCGACATAACCCAATTGATACCGGGTAAGAATTCAAAGACCGACTGACGGTGTGGTCATTCTCAGAGATTCGAGGGGCGGTGGGGTAGCCTAATGGTTAAAGCGTTGGCTCGTCACGCCGAAGACCCGGGTTCGAATCCCCACACGGGTACAATTTGTGAAGCCCATTTCTGGTGTCCCCCACCATTATGTTGCTGGAATATTGCTAAAAGCGGCGTAAAATCAAACTCAGTCAGTCAGTCAGTCAGAGATTCGATTGAGGCATGATATCGTTTTCAAGTTGAGTATAATCGCTGCTTGTCATGTCAACCACTCAGTTGTTTGATCCAGACTTGGCGTTTTCACATACATGCATAGCTGACTTATTGCTTATTGCGATGTTAAAAAATTCCAAAGATTACTTTCTGAACTTCTTCTTTCATACTTTATATTCTAACCTTTCTATCGAATTCAAAGTGTTTATTTTATACGCAATCAGCTCCGGTGGAGTCTTTTTTCTCTTTAT